AGAACGAGGACAGCGGCAGCTCCCAATGGGTGCAACTTTACTGAGAACCATTTTGCATTTTACATGATTGAAATAGATTTACTTATGTTTCGGAGCGTAGAGAAGTACTAGCCTTGCTGATGTACTTGTGAGCCACGACATTCACATTACAACTTGGGGGGGGCACCCATCACTAGGAACTACTTTATTAGCAACTAGTTTTGAACGTCACCTTAAGTCTCCCGACTCCAAGTTTATCGATTGCGCGTTTGAGCACATACACTCATCCTACACGACTGCACAATATCCTCCCTGACGTTTTTACCAGATTATTCTTATTATTACACACACGCGCCATTTACCATTATTCACTCCGAACCTCCATGCCATTTCAATCATGGGCATAAGCCCAGACAGATGATCCCGATGCCAGCTGAGAGAAGCCTACCTCCTGCTGGCATCCTCTGGCCCGGTTAGGAGCCGAGGTCCTGGGAAAATCACAACCAGTTCATTATGACTCAATCCCCAATACAGCCTGACCGCAATGTCTGTTTCCATGAGTGGTGAAGGGCCCTGGGGCCCCTAGCAAGACCTCTATCATCTTGCCCATTTGGAGGCACAGTCTCCCCTGGCTTGACATCGTACGCTTGCACCCTCTTACCCCGCCAGGGAAGTCCACCTCATCTCCAGTCCACTTCCACCGCCTCCGTCCTCGTTGATCAACCAGCCATCGATCCACAGTATCTATAATCCTGTATTCGTGTATGGTTTGTGTCTCCCTCTCGTCACTTTGGCCACCACTTTCTCCCCACTGGCTTTTTATATAGCCTACGAATCTAATGTGTCCGTGATACCGGCAGGGTACTAATTGGAGTTCCGTCTATAACTTTCCCTTAATCACTCATGTTGACCTCGTGCGTCCAACCCCCAACACCCCTTTCCCTTGTATCCATGTATCACTGATCAGATCTAAATGTGTCTCCACCCCCATATAGCAGCACACACCTTTATCCTCCTGGCCACACTGCTGGATTATGAGAATTTAGTGGCTCTACAACAATAAATAAAGAATAGTCATAGATGAGATACATCACCAGAGGATGCAAGGCAACACCACTTCTTTATTTTATCATCCTATTTAAATCTTACGCACCTACAGTTGTGACACACCCCATTGTCATAGTTTGAGCACAACAGGGGACCAACATATCCCCGCCTTGTGTTACTAACACTATCCCTGCTCCGCGGGGTCTTTTAACGCTTTTTTCAACAAACCATATATCCTTAAAAATACATAGAGTATTGTCGACACTTTGACCCAACACGGGTCTGAAAAACCCCAACTCCCAACCAAGGCAGCATACGTTAGTCCAGTTTATTGGGGATTCCTCTAACCCTTTCACAGGCCTCAAACCCACATAAACAACTATTGCTAATATTTAACTATAAAATCAAATACTATAACATTAACATACACAACGACATGAACACTTATTTGCGAATTTCCAAAAGCCAGAACCAGCAAAGTGTGGCACCACCCACCTCTAATAATTTTTTCTGAACGAAGCACAACCGATTGCAACACAAGACATTATACAGTAAACGGGTGACACTAAAACTCTCCAAATAAAAGGCCATGAACACATACACCAACACCCCGAAATCCCCAATATGACCATAAACACATTATTCCCCCACTAGTAGTCTCGAGGCATCAATCTGAAAGCACTTGAACATGTTAACCCCGACCCATAATTCTTTACCTTCACATGCCAGTAAAAAAGTTCTGCTTTCCCAAGCCCCCCCTTCCACTCTTACTAGTTAAATATTGTCAGCATCCTCGTTTCCGTTGAGATAACACTTTCCACAAACCGTGGCTTAAGGTAATATTTTTCCTGCTCCAATCCACGTGCTTCCATCAACAAGAGCAAATACCAAAACTCCCCAAGTGTAATAAACAACCAATAACCTGTCCTCTGAAATTTTCTGATAATGAGCTTTGTGCCTCAGGATCTCCCGCGGGCGGTGAGTTTGCTCTTATCACCTCATAAACCAATTCCAAAAAATCTCAACTCTCGCCTTAAGTATTTCCACACCCATTCACAACATTGATTACCACTGAACGTCAAAACAAATGCTCGACCTTTTGCTACAATGTGTCTTAATATAGACGCACTTACTGACTGTCCATCTCGTTTAAATACGTAGATTAATGCCTAACGTACGCGCTGAGCAACCCTTATCATGAATATTAGCAGAAACTGCAATTCTTACATCTACAATTAAATGACATTATTACTTGCTAAAGGGTACTTGACCAAGCGACCATTGTGACATGGTTTATGTTCCCATTAGTTCTATAGCAACGAGTCATCATGAAGCTACCATTATACAAATCAAAACACCCGAGTGTCGACGCCCTTAATAACCTCAAAGTTATCCTATTTATATGTCAGAGCACCTGTATGTCTCTAGCAGCCCCCATACCCCATTTGGGGCTCACGGCGAACTCCTTGATTTTCCAGGTCCAAAACGGCACACACACAAGGTCTCAGAGCACATTGTTCTATGATATAGTTTTACTCTCGACCTAATAATAACAGACCCGAAATATGAACTATTCAACGACCACACATTCTAGGCACACAATCCTTAGTAACATAAACTTTGCTATATATTTCGTCCTGTAACATCTCCCAACCAGCAAGCCATAAACCACCTGAAACGCTTATCATAACCCCAGAACGCACAGAATACCAACCCGAGCCCGCGATCCGAATTGCGGTCCCCAATTGCCCTTTCTGTGGCCCACTGCCTTTGCTAACTTACATTAGTACTGAGATAGTAAACCCATCATCAACAGTGTCCATGAGTCATCCAACTTCAGCTCGATCAAACAAAGCCGTTTTCAAACCATACCAAAAAGCGCTAGGCCCGTCTAGAATTAGCTGTTGGCTTCTATCAAAGTAATTAGACAGAGCTTTGTTCTTATTTAATATGAGTATACACAACCAAACACCCTAATTGCCCTAATGCCTGCTGTGGTGAATTTTGTAAACCGTTCGTAATGTGCAACTAAATGGCCGGGTCATACCCTTTTAGAGTACCAGAAAACTTAAAACCTGACTGGTTACAGCAAACACAATTGCTCCCTGGACCCGTGTGGTTACAAAAAACAGCATGACACCCCCTGCAATTCTAACAGACCCCCATCTGAAATCAGTATTATATTCTGAGCATTTTTGTCCAATTTTCCTAGAGGGTTCCGCTAATTCGCATTAAACCTCCCAGAGTAAGAGCACAGGAAACAGCCGCTGACTACTTTAGATTTGCATTTCATTACCCAATTAATAACTAATAAGCAATTTATACAGCACTTCTAGACAATTAATAATGCCAATGTGTCCCCTGCAAACGGATCCTATTCTTCTCTTATTATTCTTTTTAAAAATTAGCTGCAAAGCCAAATATAACTTAATCTTATGCCCAAAATAGCTATCATTTATTGCAACTACAAGCCTAATAATGTTGTCTCTATTTTATCTTTAGGCCCTTATGCGTTGCTATATCTCACAAAGTATTTTATCATCTTTGAGTTCAGCTAAGTTGAATCTCCTTTATGTGTTGCATTCTGGTTCTGCAACGTGCTATCTACAAACAAATGATTCCCCATTACTTTGAGTCCTTATTTTCATCCAACAGCTGTTTTAACAGCTAGAGGACTGTCTTGTCGCATTGATCTGTAAACATTAGAACATTCAGAAACTAACATCTGTGGAGGGGATTGGATATACGCATTTAAATTAAATAAATTGAACTACTGAACTAAAATTAAAAATATATCAAAATAAAACAGGCAAACTAAAGTGGGAAGCCAGGTCACTGTATAGATAGTCACTTCAAAACCATACGTCCAGATGTTTCAATCAGGTGAAGTCTACGTTATCTCGAAACAACTCTTCAATGTCGAACAACTCAAGAGATGTGATCCTGTATTTACAGAAGCTCATAGTGGTCATTATTGTAAACAGACGCCTGAGAACTGCATGATTGATTTTGTAACGGCTGTATTCTTCGAAACTAACTTTAAATACTATTTAAAAAAATAAATAAAAAAACGCTTAGATTTTAGAGAAAGCCTTGTTTGAGCAGAAGCGATGTTCGGATGGATCTAATTATATTGATTAATTGTTACGGACTCTCTAACAAAAATATGATCATTTTTGAACAAAATTCATTATTTGATGTGTGTTTTTATGCCATTATTTATATTTTAGTTAATCTGAACGTATTTATTCTTAAGATCCTTTAAAGTTGAGAATGCTTCATAATGTTTAACCCATGGACACAATTCTTTAATGAGAGAGAGACCAGAGAGAGACCAGAGAGAGACCAGAGAGAGGGACCAGAGAGAGAGAGAGACCAGAGAGAGAGACCAGAGAGAGAGAGAGAGACCAGAGAGAGACCAGAGGGAGAGACCAGAGAGAGAGACCAGAGAGAGAGAGAGAGACCAGAGAGAGAAACCAGAGATAGAGAGACCAGAGGGGACCAGAGAGAGAGAAAGAGACTAGAGATAGAGAGACCAGAGAGAGAGAGAGACCAGAGAGAGAGAGAGACCAGAAAGAGAGACCAGGACTTTCAATGCATTTTAATAAAAGAGCCATTGGTTCTGTATCTATATTGACAATCTTTTGGATATTGTGATATTTGCAGATGTATTATTTAGTTTTGAATCAAAATTCCTCCACCAAAAATCACGGCAAGCTGATTATAAATTGGCTCCAGTTGGGATTTAACTGTTATTGTTTACTGCTACAAAACAACTTAGTAAAGAGTAGAAGTTAAAACCCATGATATTCTGGATTTATGTTGGCCAGGTACAACAAAACATACGATGGATTCTTTTTAAAGCCTGTTTTTGGGAGAAATGTCAAGACTGTCTCTGTAGTTTTTGACTTGATTTGGCACTTGGCACTAAGCGTGTTGTGAATACACCTTTTGTCTGTTTGTTTGCTGTTGGTTCATCTGCAGTGGCCTTTCTGCTTCTTGTTGCGAGGAGGAGCTTTGATTGGCTGACTGACACGGCCGTTCTCCAGGGTCGGGCTGGGAGCAGAGGGAGGAGACACGGGTGAGAACGGCTCCGGATCTGCGTACATGTTGGACTTGAACGGACCCACGGCGGATGAGAACTGGGGACTGGGCAGAAGAAAGGAGAAGTTCAGCTTAAACTTTCAGTCAGCTGTACTTCTACATTATACTTAAACAGCTATAGATTTACTCCTTCCTCACCACAACACTTCGCTGCTCTAGCATCTGCGTTGTTTTTTGTATCGTCCTCTCTTCTGTGTTTCTTTATTTACTGTTATGTTTTATAATTTATCAAAAAAGCAGCATTGATCATATATGGACGAGGGCTGTAAAAGGTCAGTGAATGTGGGATTTTTATAAGTTTTGCCCCTGGAACAAATCTCTGTAGATATGATTTATGGTTATAAAAGCTGTTCTCAGTAAGGTAAAAAGAAACCAAGTTATCAATTACTAAATTAGTTGAGAACCAATTTAATAAATCAATTATTTGAGGATAAACGATTGACTTGGTACAACCCTAGTGTACACTAATACAAAAAGAGCCAAACAAATCCTATGTGGGACATTGTTTTAGCTCAATATAAAAATGTCATACCATATATTTAATAAAAGAACCGTGGGGGTCATAGATCATCCTATTGTATAAAACAGAACAGAGTTTCATCCACAGGGCATGTACAGGGAGGTGGGAAACTGGGCATTTTCTATAAACATTACACAAATAGAAGTAATTGAATCTTAGATCGGCACAAATGGTCCTGGACTTCTCAACCCATAATGAGGTGGTGTGCTCTGTACCTGATCGGCGTTCGCGGGCTGCTGTTGCATCGGCGCACTGTTCGAGGTTTTGGCTCAAAGGAGAATCCTTCCTTCAGACTCTCCAGCACCGACGGAGCCACGTACGTGAAGCCCTGTGGAAGAGCAAACGGTCAGACACTGTGCTGGTTTCTGCACTACAGAGTGTGTTTGTACTCACGGCGAAGGCGAGCTCAGCGCTGTGGCTCAGAGTGGTGTCATCTGGACTGTCCACCGGAGTCTGGCGAGTGAACCTGGTGTCAAACTGACTCACGTCCTCCTCAGAGTGCTGTAAGTAGTAAGTAAGTAAGTAAGCTTTATTTATATACCGCCTTTCACAGACCAGAGTCACAAAGCGGTTTACAATTGTTATTTTTTGGGCACTTGTCCTCTCACTCCACAGAGATGGGAGCGGGGTCGCCGAACAGGAGGCGCATGCCAGACCTATTGTACATATTTTTAGTGGTAGGGGAAACCGGAGTACCCGGATGAAACCTACGCAGACACGGGGAGAACATGCAAACTCCACTCAGAAAGGCCCTGGTCCGGCCAGGATTCGAACCCAGGACCTTCTTGCTGAGAGGCGAGAGTGCTATCCACTCAGCCACCGTGCCGCCCAACTGTGGACAACATGCAAGTCAGTCTTTTAAAAAACATTTCATTTTAGGTTTTTCATCTGCATGTGAGGATCAAACTGGTACGAATGAAACACACATCCACGTGATTTAGCCGGTGTAATGCCGTTTTTCCACAGTGTCAGTTCAGTTCATTTCGGTACGGTACGGCGCACCTATTTTGCTTTTCCACTAGTGGATGGAATGGGAGATTTGAGTACTTTTCCGTACTGCCTCAGCCGTGGTTCCATCCCCATAGTTTCCGTGCCATGACGTCACGTCGGCCCACTGCCTTACACTGATTGGTCAACGAGTGTCGTCACTGGAAGCGACATCTGACCCTTTGGGAAAAACAACTCAACCGCCATCTTTAAAGCCGGCTGCTCTGCTCGGCTCTGCTTCGGCTACATTACGTCCTCCTCACTCCAGAGAAATGGAATCGCACAGAAAGCCCAAAAAGTCCTGGTCCTGGTCGGTGGACGAGGTCCACACGTTCCTCTCTTCAGGCCAAAGAAAGAATTCAAAGGCAGCTCGAGGCTCAACACAGTTTTCAGGAGATCACCAGCTCTGGATTTGTGACTAGTCTGTGGTAATCCTGAAATAACTGGTTAGCTACGAACCCCCTAAAGCTCTCACTGAAATGTATTTACTGTGTAAATGCTCGATTGTCTGTTGTACACAGTGAGCTAGCTACATTTAGCTTCATTTAGCTATCGATAGCAAGCTAAGCTAATGTCCTCCATGTGCTACTGTATTATCTGCAGTATTCACGTGTTGTCATTCTGTTTTGTGCTTATATTTAAGTTGTTGTGTGTATATTTGTTTGAGAATCCCTTCCCATAAGTGTGGAGATTACCAACGAGTAATGAGTGACCGGAGTATTCTCATCTGGACCTGGTCTGGACCTGGTCTGGACCTGGTCTTAGACATACGTACTTTTGACTTTGTAAACTGTTGGTTTTGCACTTTACTTTTGTTTTCAATAAATCTGTGATTGTATCCCAAGACTGTGTTTCATTCATTTATTATTATTGTAGCTGAGGTTTGGGTATCGATTGTTTGTCTGGTCTCGGAGTCAGCTGTAGTCCGGACCCGAGTCCGGACTAGCCTAGCTTAGCCTAGCCTAGCCTAGCCGCTAACTCGCTACCCCTATGGCTGCCGCTGTCTCTCCCTCGGTCCTTTACTGCTCGAGTTGCCATATGACGAGTTTAAACCCTGGATCCTCCTCTGATGGCAGTGATAGATGTGTTAAGTGTAGTATAGTAGTAGCTTTGGAATCCAGGGTTAGTGAGTGAGCAGAGTCTCGAGCTAGCGCTAGCATTAGCTATAGCCTAGCAGTATCCTCGGACATGCAGCCCTCCTCCTCTGCTACACAGGCTGCTGTTGCTACAGGTCCATTCAGATTGTACAGAGCAGTCAGCACCATTGACTTCACAGTGTCTGAGTCATTCTTTTAAGACATAAGCATTTTCAAAAACTACTCGTGCTGTGCTGAATTTTCTATTAAACACTTGCTCTGGTATCATAATAAATCCATGCACCGCACCAGTACTAGTTACGCGTCACACGTAAATGACGTGGTCTGACAACCCTGAGCACATACTAGGGGCTACTATTTTTGATGGAAAAGCACGCGAACTGGGCCATGGCGCGCCGTGTAGAGTCAAAACGTACCGTACTCGGACCGTGGAAAAACGGCATAAGTGTTTAGGTTCAAATGTTGTGTTCTGTACTTTATTCATCCCCCTTACAGAAATTTGCCCTCTGCATTTGACCCGTCCTGTAAAGTCACTTGGGCCTCTATCAGTGTTCGCTCAGTGCTGCCTGCCTGAGCCAGGGGCCAATCATTTTAATCCGTTCTGACTGTTTTAAAACAAGATTTGCCAATGGGAGAAAACCATCCTTTCAAACAAGATAATTTTTCTTGTCCCATTCTCAATTGTATCATTTTGAATACAGTTTCTCATTTTTCATCATATTTCTTTTTGCAGTGTTTATTCCGACATACACAGACTTGGCTCATCGCACTCCTGGCCGGTCCAATCATAGGCCACAGAACTGAGAACGCATAACGAGAGTTACGACTGTAACTACGGTTCTATGAATCCTGGATGACCGCCAGAGGCGGTGCTTAAGCACTGGATGATCATCTTCGCACATGCACAGATCGAGAGTCAAATAACAACAAAGTCACCCGTGACCTCCGGTAGCTCACGCGAGAGTCTATAAAGCCATGTGACACCGGAAGCACAGTCCCTAGAACCTTTCTTGCACAAGGATTCCGAGGGACCGGGCGTTCTGGCAACATTAACCCGATAAAACCTGGCGAAGGTGCTTGGGGACGACCATGACGCCGCCGCACAGATGACGTCCAACGACACACCACTCACAGCAGCCCACGAAGTTGACACGCCCCTCGTAGAATGGCACCTCACCCCAGGCGGTAACGGCAGCCCCCGCAAGGCATAGGCCTCTGTCACAACCCCCACGACCCAGTGGGAGAGACGCTGCTTGGACAGCGCCCGACCAATGCGAGGGCCGGCGCAGCAGACAAACAGGGCGTCTGAACGCCTTATCGAGGCCGTGGAGCGAATGTACACCTCCAGTGCACGAACAGGGCACAGAGGGTCAGGGGGCTCACCAGAACCAAAACGGGCCAATTGAAGGGGCCCGTCATATCGACCAGAAGACACCTTCGGGACAAAGGACACATCCGGCCACAGAGACACACCCGAGCCGTCAGGATGCCAACGACAACAGGCCCCGGTCACCGACAGAGCATGGAGTTCACTCACCCGCCGTCCGGAGGCCATAGCCAGGAGAAACGCTGTCTTCATAGACAGCCACTTGAGGGCAATCTCCCCCAATGGTTCAAATGGCGGGGAACGCAGGGCATCAAGGACAACCGAGAGGTCCCAAGCCGGCACCACAGGACGACAGGGCGGGTGCAACCGGCGGGCACCTTTCAAAAACAGTGAAACGTCAGTAACACGACCAACACTAGTCCCACCAAACCCAGCGTGCCCACACGAAATCGCAGCAACGTATACCTTCAGGGTGGATGGAGAACGGCCTTTACTGAGCAGTTCCTGAAGGAAGGTCAGTATTGACGTCACCGAGCAGAGACGCGGGTTGAGTCCTCTGCCACGACACCACCCGTCGAACACGTTCCATTTACAGGAATACAGCCGGCGTGTGGACAGAGCCCGGGCATTGCACATGGTGCGTCCAATCTCCCCAGTATAGGCTGTAAAAGCTAAACCGGTCCCCGGAGGTGCCACACCCGAAGCCGCAGGCGGCCGGGGTCCGGATGGAGAAGCCGGCCCCCCAGTTGAGACAGGAGATCCCGCCTGGAGGGAAGGGGCCTCGCCAAGCCGCAGCAGAGCCTGAGCAGCAAGGGAAACCATGTCCTCCCCGGCCAATACGGGGCCACCAGTATCATCCTGTGGCCCTCTTGAAGGACCCGGAGCAGCGTCTGATGGATCAGAGGGAACGGCGGGAACGCGTACAGCAGAACCCTGGGCCAGTCGTGAGCCAGCGCGTCCTGACCCAGGGGACCGGTGGATTCCAACAGGGAGAACCACAGCGGGCAATGAGTCGTTCCCTGAGAGGCAAAGAGATCCACCCTCGCCCGGCCGAACAACCCCCAAATGGAGACCATTACCTCCGGGTGTAGCCGCCACTCGCCCAGCAGCGAAACGTGGCGCGACAGGAAATCCGCCGACACATTCAGAGTCCCTGGGATGTGCATCGCGGTCAAACCCGCAAGACGGGGATAGGCCCAAGTCAACAGCCCTCGTGCCACTGCCAGAAAGCACTCCGACCGAGTTCCCCCCTGGTGGTTGATGTAATAGACCACACTGGTGTTGTCCAACCGCACCAACACATGCCGCCCCCGCAGGACCGGCAGGAAATGGCGCAGCGCAAGCTGAACGGCCAGGAGCTCCAGGACGTTGATATGGAGCCCCCTCTGCCGCACCGGCCAGACGCCCTGAACCGCACGCCCCTGCCACGTTGCGCCCCACCCTGTCAGGGACGCGTCCGTATGCACCACCTCCCGGCGGGACGGCAGGGGACCCAGCGCGACGCCCGTCAACACAAACGCCTCGTTGCGCCACCGGGACAGTGACTCCATACACTGAGGAGACACCAGTAACCGCCGACGTCTGTGAACAGGATTGGCCGGGTCCAGCCCCAGGCCATTGAGCCACATCTGCAGCGGGCGCAAGGACAAAAGACCCAGGGGGACCACAGACGAGGCTGCAATCAGCATGCCCAGGAGCCTGAGGAACGCCAGGTAAGGGAGCGACCATTCTCGACGGAAGCCCGGGAGCAACGCCCGAATGTCCCCGACACGTCGAGGCGAGGGGCGGGCAGACATAGACAGGGAATCCAGAGCCATGCCCAGGAACAAAGCCTGCTGAGACGGCACCACATTGCTCTTTGCCAGGTTCACTCGCAGACCCAACCTGGTCACGTGCTCTATCACAGCCTGCGTATCCCGCAGAGACTGCTCGCGAGTGGGGGCACAGATCAGCCAATCGTCCAGATAGGGCAGGATCCTCAACCCCCTGGCCTGCAACGGGGAAAGAGCCGCCGCCACGCATCTCGTAAAGACCCGAGGAGAGAGCGAGAGGCCGAAGGGAAGCACCCTGAACTGGAAGTGCCTCACCTGAAAGGCAAAACGAAGGAACCGGCAATGCTGAGGAGCAATCGGGACGTGAAAGTAGGCGTCCTTCAGGTCTATTGACGTGAACCAGTCCCCAGGGGACACCGCCTGGAGGACCTGCCGGACACGCAACATCTTGAAAGGGAGGACCTTCAAGAAAACATTCAGACGCCTCAGGTCTAAGACCGGTCGCAAGTCGCCGGTCTTTTTCGGTACAAGAAAATAACGGGAATAAAAGCCCCCTGGATCCAGCAGGGGGTCGACAGGCACGATGGCATCCTTGTCCAGTAGAGTACGTATCTCCCGGACAAGTGCCCGCGCCCTGACCGGGTCCTGGATGACAGTCACAAGGACCCGGCCGGGAACAGGAGGCCGGCGGCGGAACTGGAGACGATACCCCACGGACAAAGTGGCCACAACCCATGCATCGGGGGATTGGGCCCTCCAGTAACCGAGTTGTCCCGGGGTAAACCGTCCCACCGCCGGCCCCGGCGCCTCACCGGAGGGCACCCCGGCCTTTAGCGGGCCTGGGGGGGCGACGACTGGGACGCAGTGGAGCCTGAGCCGGGGGAAAGTTCCCGCGCCGAGCCCCATGAGCCGACGGCCCATCCACCGCCCGGGGCACAGAAAAACTCCGGGGCGGGGCCACCCGCCCGCGCACAGGGGCAGCAGAAGCGGACGCACGCGAGGGATGCCTGTGCAGTCCCACCAACTGCTGCCGGGTCTGAGTGGCCTGGACCGTGCGCTCCGGAGCCGCAATAGCAGCCGAGCCAAACAGCTCTCCAGGGAGCACAGGAACGCTCCTCAACACTCTGCGGCTGGCCTCGGAGAGAGGGGACTGCGCCAACCACACCTGGCGGCGAGTCTGAACCAGCGTAGAGAGGAGACGCCCCAGTTCCCTAGACATGAAGGCAAAAGCCTGCAAGGAAGCATCCACCATCCCCTGCGTGGACTGGTCCAACGTGACAGCCTCCAGAGAAGCGGACAGCCCCAACAGCAGATGAGACAGGGAGTTCCCAATGCGGCCCATGCGGGCACCCATGTCATAGGCCTTGCAGAGCAGGTCATCTGTGGCCCGACACTGCGGCCGAGGGCACCGGGCATTAGTGCGCAGAGCCTCTTCAGGGTGTACAATCAAGGAGGCAATGGCAGGCTCCACCGCCGGCATATGCCCCAGGCCAACTTTGTCAGGCGCCTGCATAGAAGCCAGGGCCCGACCGTCCGAATTGGGCCTAGAAAAAACCCTCGTGTCAGTCCAACAGGCATGTAGCTCCTTGACATATTCCGCCGAAGGAGGAACAGAAAACCCCGAGGACGCAGACTGGCGGCGAAAGAAGGCACTCGAGGGCCCCGCATCGCACCGAGGCACATCCAGCTTCAAATGCACCAGAGCCGTTCGGATCGCCGTAGTCACGGGCTCATCGGAAACCGACAGAGACCCGACAGAACCCACCGAACCAGACTCCGAGACCCTGGAGCTCAGAACATCAGAGCCCGGCCGAAAATGTGTGTCAGTTGCCGCCACCGAGAGAGCATCATCCTCATCGCAAACCGACAAAGGGACCGAGACCGGTCGGGCCACTGACTGGCCAGTACCAGCCTGAAGGTCATGAAGGAGGGTCCGCAACTGAGCCAACTCCACAGAGAGCGAATCAACCTTCGAAGTCAGAACCCCACGACCAGAGGACTTAGACTTCTTCCGCGGAGGGTCATCACCCCGGGCGCCCTCACGTTTGCGACCAGGGGGTCGGTCAACCAACAGGGCAGACTCACAGTCCCCAGACTCGCCACTGAAATGTCCGTCCAGGGCCGACAGGCGGGCCACGCGCACCGGCCAGGGCATTACCGCACAATCGGGACATGCACGCTCGGTTAGCGCCTCCCGCAGATGGTCCACACCCAGACAGGAGGGACACAGCACATGGCCATCGTCCTGCTGCATCGGGGCCAGACAGGACTGGCAGGCCAACGGCTCAAGCATCCCAGCGAGCGAACGCGCAGGAGCAGTCGCCGCCAAGTACAGGGGCACTCCCGGTAGGGTCAGGTCGAGCAGAGACGCCACTAGTGACCCACCGAACGCCGTACACGTGCAGGGAACAACCAATATAGCAGGGTAGTGCGAGCAGAGACGCCACTTACAACCCGCAGAAACACGTGGAACACGCGCAGGCAACAGCCAATACAACAGGGTCAGGTCGAGCAGACACGCCACCAGTGACCGACAGAAATCAACAAATAATTAACAAGGTAATTAACAAGACACAGGGTCAGGTCGAGCAGAACGCCACCGGTAACCCACCTAACACACGCTGAATACGCGCAGGTAAACAGCCAGATATCAGGGTCGGGTCGAGCAGAAACGCCACTAGTAACCCCCCAATTATCAGAAGTAACGAAAAACAACCGAGCACAAGTCACGGCGAATAAGCAAAACAAACACTCACCAGAGGCAAGCAGCGCGGCTTGCGCAGCCCACGGAGGGCGAGAAACTCGCAGCACCGAACGACGAGCAGTCACGGGGCTACAGGCAGCAAGCGGCGCGACCAACAGGCACAAATAGCTATCAGTTAGCTTCAGCCAGACTCATACAACCTGCATGCGAGAAAGTGAAAAGGGACTGTGCTTCCGGTGTCACGTGGCTTTATAGACTCTCGCGTGAGCTACCGGAGGTCACGGGTGACTTTGTTGTTGTTTGACTCTCGATCTGTGCATGCGCGAGGATGATCATCCAGTGCTTAAGCACCGCCTCTGGCGGTCAGGAAGGATGAAATAGAACTTGCTTCTCCCATATCCAAGACAATGTTTTGCTTTCCTGCAGCCACTCTCAGTTTTGTCTGACTGGCACGATCAAATATGAACCAAATGCTCATGATATGAGCAGCTTGGGATAAAGATCCCGAGACCTTCACTTTTTCAAAATTATTATTGTAAAATCATGTGGTTCTGGCCGGTCAGACTACTTCCTTATCTGGATTTGGCGTTAGCATGCTTTCTACTGGCAGCAGGGAGAATTACGATGAGGATAACCTTTTGTTTCTGTTGCTGGAACCAGTATTAATGTCGGAACGAGTCAAAGTCTGTTTTTATTTCCAAAAATCTTTGACAGAGCAAAGAGCTCCGAGGCTCAGAGGGAGCGGTTTATAAAAAAGATAAATTAAATAAGTATGAATGAACACAAAAACAGCTTCAGGATGTTTATAGTTGAAGGAACAATTAGTGATTTCTCATCCTACTCCAATTTAATGTGATTGATAAAAACACATGTAAACTTGTGCGTGCCAATCGAAGCGTGGAAAAAAAGTCTGTTTGGAGGAGCGCAGATTCTCATGTATTTGAGCTGCATGTAAACGCATTAAGTTTACATGCAGCTGAAAAACATGAGAATGAGACAGCGGGCGGTGATGCATTTAAGAGCACAGCAGCCTGTCTGTGTCCTGAGACCTGAGACTCCAGGAGATTATGCTGGATTATCATTTTATTAACTGGTACTTCCGTATCAGCGATCATGTACAGCACTGACAGTAGAATCTCAGCTCAGGGTGAAGACATGTTCCCAAGCACTGTGAATATTAGATTAGTCCTGTTTTTATCCTGGTTTAGCTCTTGTTTTGGTTGTTTTTGAGTGTCTTTGTCTTCCTGTTTTGACCAGCTTGTGTCCCTGTGACCACTTTGCTGCTCTGCGATTAGTTGTGGCACGTGCACGGAGCGAGGAAGTTGCCGTACCCACCGCCATCTAGCCGCCGTACCCACCACGCCGCACAAATTAGTCTACCGCAACGGACAAATGTTCTGCCATTAATAGAATATACACTGCCATACCTGATCACAGACGTGATAATGTAGATGACATATTGTACTTTGAAGGCTAAGGGTAGCTGTAAACACTTATAACTGAGTGGCGCTAGAGAGTTGACTGCAAAATGATCTCAACGCTAGATGGGGGTAAAAATTACTGAGTGTACCTTTAAGTACCACCCTTAAAAAAAACTCAACATTTCACTTATTTCACATGGTGTTAGATAGAAAGCCAATGCAGACAGGAGTGGCATGTCGCCCCAAGTCAAGAAGGTCCTGGGTTCAATTCCCCAACAGTAATGCAAATTCCCTTATACACAAAAAGCTAAACCAACAGTTGCTAGATTCATCCAAAGAACGCAGTGTGTTGTGTCTCACCAGTTGAGGCTTGTAGGGCGGCTCCACTCTCTTGTTGAGCAGGTCGTCCCAGTTGATGTGCTTGAAGAAAGGGTGTTTCTAAACATAGAGGACATTAATATTCTTTCTGATCTGCAAGAACCCCGTCTCGCCATCGCCCCCCTGTGTCAGCCACGCTTCACTACAAAGGCTTTCAGACGCGTCCCGAGGAGGAGGCTGTTGGGAGAATTACCTCGTCCTCAGATTTAAAGCACTGACTGTGGCTTAAGTTTATGGGTTGGTCTGATTCAAAGGAAAGATGAGGAGTCTGTGTCATCTCCAAATGAAAAATTTAGTCTCGGCATCAGTGGCACAAAGACTTTAATTTACTTTCTACAACACTTTTGACAAAGAATATTGTTGATAATAATAACAACTCCGATTATCAAAGTAACAGTTCATAAAATGACTATATACTCTCTCTCTCTCTCTCTCTCTACATCGGACACTAAACTCAGAGAAATTAGCTCTAAACCATCTCTGAGACAGGAGGGTCAGCACATCAGACTCCACCCATTTTCTCAAGTCTGTAGGTTCAAGACTGGACTCGATCGAGGAAATGGGTGGAGTCTGATGTGCTCCTGCTTGGTTGGAATGAAAACCTGCCTCCACACCACACCACCCCTTTCTGGAACCAGTTTGCACCCCCGCTCACAGACTAGAAGACTAAAGGTTACTTATACAACCCTTGAAACAAATGCAATAATGAATACATAAACAAGGCCATAGTAAAGAACACTATTGTAGAAACATGAGAAAAAGCATTAATATAATAAATCATGTAATACTAGTGAAGAAAAGACAGAGATAAAGCTAAGCCAATGTAAATTACCTGAATATCTGCGCAGTCTGCTTTACTGGAGCCAAGCCTTTGGGCTGAACTCTTCTTCAAAAGCTGAAAATCAAAAGCAGAAAGCCTGATTTAATATAGCGGAGAAATATGCCTCGACGAGAATGAGATAAAGGAGAAACTATGGGATGTAATAATGAGAGGCTGTAATCTTCTTTGGCGAAGGCTTTCTCTGTGTTTAATGCTTGTTAGTGACGGAGAGACTTCTCGCTCCAGAGACGGGAAAAAATAAAATAAAATAAAAATCAGGGCAAAAGTACATGAAACAGCAGCACAAGTTTGACTGTGGGCCGACAGCCGTAAATGATGCATGACTACAAACTCGGAGTCTCCCACGCACATTAATAATTAAATTACCCAGATTTCTAGACACAACTTTCTGCTGTAAAAACTCTTGGATTAGATTGATAGTGTCGAAAAAATTATCCTGGCGTTTGAAAATAACATCTCAAAAGGAGGCTATTAAATCACTTTTTTAAATCATATTTTGAATCATATGGGATTCTTATAAGAGTTTATAAAATATACATTAAAACATTAAAAAAATAAAATATTAGAATCCTGTGGAGTAAAGTGGATATATATATGCAAGTTTAAAATCTGAAAATCCATTCACTCTTTGTCAGGGTAGCTCCAGTTTTGGTCAAGTCAAATTTAAGACTCTTATTTTGGGGGGTAAATCTGAGGGGAGGGGTGCATCACGCCTGCTTCTTTGTTTAAAGTAGAAATATCAGACATTTTTTCGGCTGTTCAACCTTTTAATGAGACTATTTACTTTTGAATATATATCTTCACTAGAAAATAAGATAAGTTAAACAAGTATCAAGGGTAACAAATGCTATCGGCCTGCTCTATCCCTAAGCTACCACCAGAGGGAGGAGTACAACTTTTTGTTTTGGTTTTTCCAAATCTGAAAATTACTGGCTGCAACCACAGCTATGTGATTACAAAAAACAACTTTTCACTATTATAATTGCTTATTGTTTGATTATTAAATGCAGAAAACAGCTGTGAGTGTGATGTCATAGTGGTACAATGACATCACACTATCACAGGACTTAAGACAGGAGCTTAAGTCCTGCGATAGGCAGAAGGGGCGGAGCTACACGTTTGTGCCAGAAGTTCCTGGTGGACCCGGTCTGTTTCTGATTAGGTAAACAGTAGCTTTGTCTTGTCAAATATAGCAAACATTTTCTATTCATGCAATGAAAAAAACTTCAGGAACAAAAAAAATATGTGTTTCCTGGATATTTTTCAAAGGACTTCAACATTATAATTAACTTGAAACTAGTAAATTACTGAATACTTTCTTATTTCTATTAGATATTATTAGAGTATATTTTTACACTCCTTTGTAGGCTTTGTATTTGGCTACAAAAAATATAATACAGTTTAAATTATTTAGAGACTCTGGCGCTACGCCGTTGTTGTTGTACTTGTTTTACAATACTTAAGCACATTTGAATAAATCATTGTTTTCAGTCATCTGGAAAATGCAAAAAGGAGGCGTTTTGCACTATAATGATAATAATGAAAATTCACACAGACAGTATCTGAACACTGTCAGGCAGATAAGAGCTAAACTGTAGCACTCTTGTGTTGCAACAAGAAGCACCTTTTTGATGAGGTCCCGGGCGTCGATGGTCAGATAAGGCGGCAGGTTGATCTTACACTTCAGGATCCTATCGATGGTTTTCTTCCTGTTTTCACCTGTGAAAGGAGGCTGTGGAAAATATAGAATAACTTAGGTTAAAATGGAGGATTGACATTTTTTATGTTTTATTTATATATACATTTCACTCCACTGAGATGACAGCTGTTGTGATATAGGGCTGTACAAGAAAAAAATTGTTTTGTATTGTATGATGGTATTAAACTATTACAGTAGCCACAGCTGCCCTGGGGGCATCTGGAATTGGAGACAAACAAAACATTTTATCGGGAGATTTCTATTGGTTTGAATGGGAGCAGTCAAAATGACGGCTATGGAAATTCTCTGTAGTTTCATAATTGTGGGAGTCCTCGTGTTAATAATGCCGCGACACAAGAGCTTATTCCCCTTTGTCTCTGGTCATTGGGAGGCTGATGTTATAGTTCATCATAAATCATAAAGAGGACTGGCCGAACATTATCAGATTCATGATGAGTCGTGCACAGTCATCTTTCACAGTCTCCTCTCTCCGCACGACACTCGGCCTCTGCATAAATACAGATGTTGCTCGTTCGTCTCACCGATCCGGTCATCATGTCGTACATCAGAGCGCCCAGACTCCACCAGTCCACAGCTCTGTTGTGTCCCAGCCTCGTCAGGATCTCCGGAGCCCTGACGGAGACATCAGCACAAACACATTCAACACACGATGAAGTGAAGAAATGTGATCTGTCTCTTATAGAACAGTCCCACCCACTTGAATTATTTGGGCTGAGAGCTGATTGGCTGAGTGAGGCTGTTCCTCTTTTGCACTTTTCTGTATAAAAAAAATCTGATCTAAAGACAGAGGCCAACATTTTTGGAAAGTGAGTGAAAACTAGTCAAGCAACAGTAAAGCAGGGAAAAAGTGAGATGGGTTTTATTATTTGTGGTTTGGAAGTTAGGTACCCAAGCTTTAAATGAAAAGTGCTTAGAAAAAAAAGTGGGAAAACATATTGAATGGTTTTTCTTGGTTGTTTGAGAGAAAACTTATGCCAGTTTTTGTACATGTTTAGAGAGTGCAAAAATGTAAAGCGACATCAAGAACATGCATTAACAAAACTAAATCAGAGTCTTGTGTAAACATAATAAGAAAGATTATTGAGAAATTGTGACCCACATGTACTCGATGGTCCCACAGAAGGTGTGTGTGACGCTGCCGTCGTGGATGGACTCTTTACACAGGCCGAAGTCTGTCAGCTTTATGTGCCCTTTACAAGAATAACAGCAGAGGAAAGGAAAAAAATCAGTTCAGGAAGAAAAGAAATGTGTCTAGTTACATATAAGATGGGTTTTTATGGGTTTTGTGGTAATTCTTTCAATTTTGCGTTTTTTACCTTTTACCTTTTATAATCTATGTAAAAATTATACCTAAATAAGACAAGTACAATGATATAGTAATAGTATTATAGTGCAAAAGTAGGATATTTATAACTTGTGGCACAGAACATAATTATACACCTAAATGTGGCTTCTACAAGATATCACCAAGTTTAGAAAGCTTTCAGTTGTGTTTTTTTAGTTGTCTATTTAAGCACATTAAGCCATTGCTATTTAGAATATAATATATATCACGACTCCCACTGATGTCTGCTGTCGTTGTGTCCTTGGGCAAGACCCTTAACCCCACTTTGCCAAAGCCCCCGCTGGAAGATCAAGGCTGCTGTGGTCTCACCACCTGCAGGAGGATCAGTGTGGGGCTGGTGCTCTGTGTACTGGGTGCAACTCTGACTGCCACCCCCCCCGACCCAGAAATGGATTAAGGGGAAGAAAATGGATGGATGGATATTAATAATATTTTAGACATTTTAGATTATCTATTGTTGTGGTTGAACTTTTCTGAGTTATGGCCCACTTTTAACACAACAGCAGCAAAAACAAAATTATACTTATCATACATTTTTTAATGCTTGTTAATTTTCTTTCTTTTATTCTTTACTTGTCATTATTAGTCTAGTATTTTATGAGTCAAAACAACAACGACCTAGTCTAGGTGTTTGATGGTGCCCTTACCTGTGTGTATTTTAGTCTATTAAATATCTTCTGTGGTGTATGTAAATGTATGTAGCATCTGTGAAAAGCCAAATTTATATACTGGGAGAAAAATAAAGGAGAATCTCATCTTGCTCTATATTTTTTTACAACAGATCTGTCACGGCAACGGTTTTTAGGCTGTGTGTCTTTTGAAGTAAAAACGTGTGCAACAGTTCAAGGAAGGTGGTGGTTTATGGTACGCAAAACACCGGTTACCTTGGTGATTGAGCATGATGTTTTCAGGTTTGAGATCTCGGTAGATTATCCCGTTGGAGTGAAGGTGACCCAGCGCCAGCGTGATTTCTCCAAGATAAAAACTATATAAACAAACACAAACACAAGTGGCGCCCATGAATAAATGTTTATATTATCTGCAAATTGTTATTCATCTCTGTCAGAATGAACCAGTGCGACTTTAGGAAAGACCTTTTCTCACCTCGCCGTGTCCTCCATGAAGATGCCCTCTTTCTCCAGCTGCATGAACAGTTCACCACCTGAAACAGACGAGAGACAAGAGAATAAGTGGAAAAGTTAATATTTAAAACCAAAAATCTACATAAAAATTACACTTATAGAAAAAAGCCAAACTTTAAAGAGGTGTACAAGGTTTATTCATGTATTACTGGCCTTTCTAATGAGTCCAAAAACAAATTATAGTGAGATAATCAGATTTTAAGTATTTATTATTCATTAGTTAAATCTACATTTGACTGAACATTTTGCAGTACATTTTTCAGTACATTCTTAAACTTGTTAAGATAAAAGCACATCGTTCTATCTGAATTCTGGGATAGTTTTTAGCAGTGTGGCGCCACCTGCATATCAAAAACCCAAGCATAGACCTGAGTCATATCTTAGAAGCTAAGCAGGGCATGGCCTGGTTAGTGCTGTGATGAGAGATCTCTGGGAACACCATGTAAACTGCCATCGGTCCCATGAGTTTGGTGTGAGTGTGAATTATGGGTGTTGTGGATGGAGGAGTTGTTGGCACAGATTATTAGCTTTGCTTCGGTTAATCTGCTCCAGGGCTTTGTGACTGGGGTATATATACACACACATGCACTCCCTCGATGGCGGGATAGTGTATGAATAATGCCATGTGCCCTACGGGGATTAATAAAGTGCACCTTACCTTTGCTTGGCATTATTCAGAATGTAGAATTACTATAGCAACAGCACATCATCATCAATCATCAGTAGGGTAAAACTAACCCGTCTCACAAAGTATTATTATATAATAAGCATTATCATATATTGCTTTGTAAGAATATCATAATCATAATGTTCTGTTATATATTGCTTTGTAAGAAGTGGCCTTTTACTCAAACAGATGCCAAAGTAAATGCCCAAATCCTTCAAAATCTCGATTGACAACACCAATGTAATCCCGGTACGAGAAAATATTATCTACTACAGTATAAAGTGTCATTATGGGGTCATATTTACACTTTATGCGTTTAAAATGTAGGATGAAGTTACTGTTATTTCTCATGTAAAAGTCCTGAGTCACTGAAGTGGGTTAAAATAACTTTAACTTTATCCACAGTGTTAAGTTTTTGTTTTTTTTGAACATTACATTAATAACTCACATTCAAATAAAACGATACAATTAACTTCAACAAAAGCATCAGACAGAACTAAGGGAACAAAGGGGCTCGCACTTGATTGGTTTAATGTTTTCCCCGCTCATACTAAAGTAAACATGACTCAACTAATCTGATTTACTGCATGTGAATACCAATGATTTAGTTCACTAGTTCATCTAAAATACTTGGCCTTTATCCCACAAGCTTGTAAACACCCATTACCTACTTTAGCACTTAGCCACGTACATTTCTAACCTCCAAAAAGGATTATGACTGAACGACCTGTGTGAACCCAGTGCATTGTGGTCACTGTAGTCACGCGGTGCAGAGTAAAGATGGCTTTACCGCTCAAACACTCCAGGATGAGGTAGAGCTTTCCTCCGGTCTGAAAAGCGTACAGTAAGTCCACAATAAACGGATGCCTCACGGTCTCTAGAATCTCACGCTCGGCTCGAGTGTGGGCCGTGTCTTTGGCGTTGCATACGATCTTTGCCTACGAAAGATTACAGGAAATTTAGCCAAAAGACAGATTTGAGATTCAATCCATGGGGGTAAATGTGCAACGTGTGACCAACCTTTTTCAGGACCTTCATGGCAAATATTTTCCCTGTTTGACCGCCTTGCACTTTGCGCACTTGAAAAACCTGAAAAGTGTTAATTAATTAGTAAACAAAACATGTTTTTTGATAGGTTTTGTAAATCTGAAGTACCTATTTTATATTTAAACTATGCCACCAGTAGTCATTCCTAACCAAGTTCAAGCATTACTAATCTTGTACATATACACTGAAGGTCAGAGAGTTGTATCATTATCCTATTGATCTGAGATGTGATCATTCATATATCGAAAAGGCAACAAAACAAATTAATTACATTTTTTTTTAAATCATTATGCATTTTTCTTTCACCTAAACTCTTTGTTATACATCTGTAGAAATATCTTGAATAAGTTCACAGTTCAATTTAATATATTTTTAACCCTAAACCACAACAGCAGTCATCTCAGTGGATATGAAATTGTATATATTGTCATATACTGGAAATGCATTATTCTGCCACTACTTGAACAACTGCTTTAACAAAATATCTTCCAACTGGTCTGCAATAGATCGCTATAGTGAAGTGGTTTCAAGACATTGTTCTGCTTCACAGTTGACTTTCTAGATGTTGTGTTGTTTTGTCAATAAAGTGATAATAATCTCTTCCATGTTTAGAGACAGACCTTGCCATATGCCCCTTTTCCCAGCACCCGCAGCAGCTCAAAGCAGTCAGGCCCGACTCTCTCACTGTCTCTGTTCACAATTTCACTGGTCAACTCCACCTCCTCCGTCTGGACACTGAGACAACAAGAGCGATTTGTTGATTTACACAATTTATACACAAATATTTTCAGATTAAACAAAACTCACTTTTCTGGTTCTGGCACTGTGAAGTCACAAACGTCATCCTATCGATAAAAAAAAAATTAAAATCATTATCAACTTTTAAGTCTGGTTAGTATCTTGTAAGTTTTGGAATAATACATTGGAAACTAGTGTATAACATGCATAATAGCAGGACATTAACCTCTGTCTCACTGATATCTTCAGTCTCCAAGTCAATATCAAAGACTCCAGCCATCCTTTAAGAGAGGAAACACATACAGTATGTTACGTAAAATAGCATCAACTATACTAGAAATCAAACTATCATTAACTGCTCTGTACAAAACGCAAATCTGAATTTTAAGTACATAATATTATATGTGCTTTCTAAACTAATATTAACCAAATCATAACTGGATCAATTAGTGACAACTCTATTTATAATGACATTACACAGATTGGTACTGTTGCCTGCTGCATTCAACACCTATTTGCTGACACACAAAAGAATCTACCAGGCATAAACAAAGACATAGCAACTAATAAGTACTTTTAGACAACGAACAATATACGTTTGATATCACATCTTTATAATGAACGATATAAAACACTAAACATTCTCTTGACGAGCGGTTTCTCCAAGTTTGCTAGGCTAAGCCATCATCCCACAAGACCATAAATACCCAATACCTGCTGCTAGCCAAGTCCAGCTAGCAGCACATTTTTCGCTTATATCACTAAAATTACTGACAACAAATTAACTGCCAGCGACATCACATACTTGGTCCATTACAGACACACACACATTTCGCATTGCCACAATTCTCACTGCTTGAAAACGTGGCATCAAATTGTGTTAGCTTTAGCACGGAGCTAGCTGATCTTTGACAGACAGCTGATATGACAGGAAGCGCGTGCTAACATGCTAACAGGCTAATGCTAACAACAACACACCTGCTGCGGTGAAGTTGCGCTTTTAATCCCGCGTCAGATCAACAAGTGAAGAGGTTTTTCCTTCATACGCCGTCGGTGGTTGTTGATGGCATGGCTGTTGGAATGGTAATGATATGCAATAGTAAATTCATCCGCTCCTCATGCTCTCTCTCTGCGGTCTCTCTCTGTGTGGGGACAACACTACAGCAGCAGTAGCAGGAGCGTGGTTTGGCTTTTGTTGTGGCCAAAAGGGGAGCGTCATGTGATTGGCCCTAGTTGACCCATGGACCACGTCTACCTAGCTAATCTTTTGTTTTGGGAATATATTCTTTCTTTGAAGGTTGAACTGAACTGCTACACCATAGTTTCGCTGTCATTTTAGCTAGTTAGTCAACGAGTTCTGGGCAGCTATAATAAATAATGGATGAAATATAGAAATATAACTGAGATTTTTTGTTGTTATTGCCAGTACATTTGAAGGGATCTGCTCAAGAAGGGTTGACACTTTATTTGTATGGCACTAAATTACTAGTACTAATATTGGACATTTTCTTTTACTATTTGTCTTTCAATAATAGCTTATTTTTTATTGAGTTGCACCTGCCCTCCACCTGAAATTGAATTATTGAACTTGAACATGCAATTTATTGTATTTTACATTGAGTTACTCAGATTAGCAATAAATAACAGTGACTATAGCTACAAACTAGTTACACTAGTATAGCAAACACTGTTTCTGTATTCTGTATTTTGTGAAATGTCTAAGGTGACATGTCCAACGTGTCAGACTTCAGGATTCTTGCCCTTTGTCCCTTCTTCCTCAAGTTTCCTAGGAAAAACTGGTCAATATATCATGTGACATTCTAATACCTATGTCAAAATGTGTCTTATTTAGTGAATAATCACTGATATTTTGGGTTTGACTATTTGCCATTTTCAAAGACAATTATGTTTAGGCCACGTGACTGTGTCGATGATGAAAGAGTATATCTTGTGTGTTCTATTATTTTGATACAAATATAATGTTTTAAGATTTATAATAGATTAGGACCTTTTCTCTTTGGCTCATGTTATATCACTGTTAGTGCGCTACGGTTCACTGAAAACCCAATGAGCACAGAAAACTTCTCAGTGAAGTATCACAAGGATTTTTAGAGGGAAAAAACTGTAACATAAGCAGCTGGCGTAAACCATAAATGTGAAGTGTTTTGAAAAATGTATGTTCAGTTTCAATCCAAGAATACAATTACAGCTATTACATTACATTACAGCCATTTGATGTTCAAATCAATGCAAGATTGGATGAAGACATCTATGAGAAAAACACCCTAAATTGTATGTAGATTTATGGAAGAAAAATTAAAATTAATGTTTTTTGTCAGAAAAACAGTCAAAATGAATACAAAACACGATCCAAAAAAAGCACAATAAATTAGCCACTGCAATAAAACACATGTCACAACTCAAAATAGGTAGAGAGGGGCTGTTACAAACAATGTCTTATAGTTTAAATTCACAAAAATACTAACGCCCGAACAGGGACTTGAACCCTGGACCCTCAGATTAAAAGTCTGATGCTCTACCGACTGAGCTATCCGGGCTCTGGAGGACTACGCTGCGTTGTATCTCTTTTAACTCTGAGTATAATACGATTCATGTCATTTTTTAGTTTCTCTTAAAAACTGCACATACAAGATACGCGGAAATAATTGATTTTCTGACCACATCACTTGAACGCGGAAGGAAAAAGCGATGGCTCAGGTACAACGAAAATTCTTGAAAATTGTTGCCATAAATCATGTATGGACGACAAGATGACATTGTATAAGCATAGGTAACTTTTCAGTTTCAAGTTAGCGAGGTATCCTTTGCAAAATGTCTTGAATTGTGCTTGTCCACGTAGTAATGCTGTTTTTATATGTTTGTTATAAATACGACAGTTTATGCGATGCAATCAATGTTTGAATAAGTATTTAAACAACTGAAAAAAATATCTGAAATTAAGATTCAAAATATTTAACTTGGCATATGACTGTGGAATCCATGGTGTTTACACGCGGTTAGCTAGGTGCTACTATGGTTTTGTAAATTCAAAGTCTCGTGTGCTTGTGACTGATTTTTCTGTTATGCGTATTGTACGTTGAGCAAAATTAAGACCTTCCCATGTGAAGTGAAATTAATTGAAAAAAACGAAAAGTTATTCAGGCCCCAGCGAGATTTGAACTCGCGACCCCTGGTTTACAAGACCAGTGCTCTAACCCCTGAGCTATGGAGCCCTGAATGAGTGGAGCGACGTCAATTAACAATAAATCCATAATTCTATATATTTTAACGATATTGTACGTTTTATTTATCTCAATAATATAGTATCGTGAGTTGTTAGAAAAATGGATGGAAACTCAGGTTAAATTTTGTATTAATTTAATAATAGCCAACTACCTAAATATTTTTACTTTATCCCATTCCATTGGACTTTTTGGCAAATGCACGTATTGTACTATTTACGCATAAAACGTAGAATAAGATCGTAAATGTTACTATGTGCAATAATAGAACGCAACACGTAAGCTTCGTAATGTGTTGTAAATAAATTATTTTAAACGTAATTTCTAAAACTGTCCACAAGATGGCAGTAATAAGCCACTGTTTGCCAAAAAGCCGTCACTTTCGATACCAAATATCTTTCATTGATGACTGTTTTGATTCACAAAGGGAAATGCTTTGTTTTATTCCATTTCAATTATGAATTTACGACAAATCTTTAAATTAAGCGATTTCGAATTTTGAAATGTTTTATTTATTCTTTTAAATCAAATAATTGTCTCTCGTCCCGACTGGTTAAAGTTATGGATAAAGTATTAATTTCATTTATTTATACCTCTGATCGTAGTCCTTTGCTGTAACATCCTTCTGCTCCAATCAGATCAATCCAATCCAATTAACTAACAAGTAATTACAGTTTGGGTAAATTAAATGAGGGGGTTGTGGTCGTGCATAATTGAGCCGCTTTGTGTTGTCCAGGACCGTGGGAGCCGGTGGGGGGCGTGGGATGGTGGTGCCCATGCCCGGGGGGATGTTGTCCTCCCAGGCCCCTCTGTTCATTTACACCAGTCTCTCACGACAAAGCGAAGATGGAGTCCGCGGGATAGCGTCTGAAAAGCCACGAGACGCGTACACAAAAATGGATCTATTACCAGTTTTATACTTTTAAAACACGTGGGAGCTTTTTTAACGTTTTGGTCCAGAATAGGTAGTTTTTTGCCACTACCTACACGTAACAAAAAAACGCAATGGAGCCACCACCAAAGGATTGAAGTGGATTTACTGCAATACTTGGGACGGCCCTGGATTCAGTTCCAAGCGAGACACAGGCTCGCTTCAACAGGTGAGAATTTATCTGAATAAAAATGCAAGCATAGCATAGTTTTTGGAGTTATTTACAAAATGCACACGCACACGCACACATTCAAAGCAACCCGAACTTGGCTTTTCTTGCACGTTTTTCTTTTCATTACAGGCGTGCAGCCCACACTTCACCAGTAATAACGCATTAGTATAGACTGAGTAAACCCAGTTATAGCACTTTTCTGCAGTAGTGTGCTGTCTTGTCGCCACCACGGACCAGTTGAACCAGTTTTCGAGCCAAGATCGCAGAAGCTGACAGCGCGCTGTTTGGAGTCCACCACTTTTCAGAATTCCCTTCGCTTACGCCCAGAGTACGGGAGCTTTCATGGACAATAGCTGTCAAGAACCGCACTTTCTCTGATCGCTTTATACCCCAGCCGCGACGCTTTCGAGTCATATTCAACGCAAGAAGCCGTAATTAATCACACATCGAGGCGAGACTACTTCCACCCGGACTGGAGTCGCCCACAAGCGCCGTGCGTAAAGGAAAAAAAGGCCCGTCTCGGAGAAAGCGCTCTCGTTTTGGCTCCAATTAAACCTGGGAGGATCCGTACCGAGGGAGCACCGAGCCTTCACTTCGCCTCCCCGGACATCCAAAGTCTTTATTACGGCTTTACGAGCGATCACAGCCCGGGGGAGGACTGTGATTCCCTCCACTTGCTTTGCCATGCAGCCAGCTCCAGTCCTCACTCAACAATGCACTGGCGTCTTGTGCTGGCGTTAGCTGAGCCGCCGCTTCATGTAAGGATGAGATGGCTTTGTCTAGGTGTATATCGTGTTTTTGATCGTGTTCGCGTGTGAATGACATGTAGATATCTTCAGGTTTGATGTTAGATTGTGCAGTGTTTTAATGCAAGATGTGGGAATGCTGCTTGCGTCTGGCTGGCCTCTGGATTAGCAGACGGTCAGATTTATTTTGGCTAAGAAACCCAGTCTGCTCCAGTCTGTGATGGCTCGCACTACTTGGCGAGGGGGACACGGCTCTCTTTGTGGTGTAAAATCTCTTACATTTGTCTTCCAGGGCCAGCAGCAGTAGCAGTATGCTCATGGCCTCCGCGGTGGTGGTGTGGGAATGGCTGAACGAGCACGGACGCTGGCGGCCCTACAGCCCCACTGTCTCCCACCAAATAGAGGCGGCCATCCGGAGCAGCGACCCCCGCGGAGGAAGCGTGGTCCTGGGCCAAGTGGACAGCCGCCTGGCGCCCTACATCATAGACCTCCAGTCCATGCACCAGTTCAGACAGGACACGGGTAAGAGCAAGGATTCAAGATGACCTTAAATCACAATTACTCTAAGGTTTTGTGCTGAATTGTATTGTTAGAATGATACTGAACCAGTATTGAGTCATGGCAGTGGAAAGAAACATGCCACATCACCCACTGGGTTATGTTGGCACAGAAATAATCAGTGACACCATTAAGATATGTTTTATACATATCATATAATACAACTATAACATACTACGATTTGTGCGGGCAAATAGAGGAAGTGTACCTTTATTTCAATGCCACATTTAACAGAACCCAGCCCTTTTTGACGGACCACTCATTTAAATGACATGTTTTAACATTTGGGGATTCCTTTAGCATAGCTCTTAATAAAACACCATGTTGCCAAGACTGTGGCCATTGCCTTTGTGTCTGGTTCATTGTCTTTGTTAATGATGTTTTGGGGTTTGCCTGTAACTGCTTCAGAAGTTGTTCATGAGAATCCAAAATGATGCATTATTCAACGAACACACACAGAATCTGCCTCATTCATGAATCAAGAATTAATCTATCTAAAGACGCTTGTGTTGAACCACTGTCAGCGTGTTGAAGTTTTTATTGGGTGTGTGAGGAAAGTTAAGTGGAAGAAATGATGTATTTTCATATTGCACTTTCTCTGTTGTTGATTTGATGGTGTCTTAGCTGACGAAGGGTCCACTAGCTGTAGTTTATTTTTATTCAGATAATAAATACACATAAAGATCAGGAACTTGTGTGGTGACTTCTCATATGAAGTTGGTATAATAGATATTCTTTACACTTTGACAGCTTTTGCCAGAGAAACACCGTATTGGTTTTTGCACCAGGACTTTTCAACTTGCTGTAGAGTAGAACCAGTGTTTTATATTCTGTAAAATTATCATTATTATTGTATTTCCATCGTGAGCAGGAACTGTCCTTTCTGCTGTGGCTTTCCTCACGTCTGTGTACAACTGTTTTGAATTTGGCTTTGGACTGGGTGGAGCGGACAAGATTGTAAACAGATTTTTACAAGGAGGAGCTCACATGGCATCTACTGTACAGCGGTTTGCAGAAAGTATATGCGTATTTAAAGGCAGTAAGAACTTGTAATGTTGTTTAGTGTTGTCTAACAAGGGGCTAAGGCAGGTCCTTCTTTGTTTAATACAACCTGTGAGAAAGACTCTTTGGATTCGTCATTCGTACTGAACTGCAATGGCAAAAAAACTGTCAAAATGCAGTGAAGCAAGGGAAGTTGTTAAGCACAGTTCATACACAAGGGAACTGTCTCTATATTGTTTTTCTCAACTAAACAATATAGAGACAGTCACACAAGGCACACGGAGTAAAGATACAATCCTTCAACTGTACAGCTAAACAACTGTTTTTAACCTGGATTTTAACAGTCTCAGAGAAGAAGTCTGTTTGACATTTTCAGGAAGACTTCCAGATTTTAGCTGCATGAATCTGCACTGCTGCCTCCCCATGTTTAGTCCTGACCATGGGCACCAGCAGGAGCAGCAGTTGGTTCATATGGCACTAACATGTCTCGGATGTACTTTGGAGCGAGGCCATGCAGAGACTTGTACACAAACAGAGCCACTTTAGAGTCTGAACATGAACCTGTTATTTGAACCATAAAACAAATAAGATATTATTAAACCTAAATCTTTGTTATTACCCCGCCAATTGGTAATGATAGTGGTCTAACCCCAGGTAATACTAGAGGCAGGATTGTGCAAAAACTACTGGACGGACTAGGCTGAAATTCTGTGTCGCAGGTGTCATAGATATGTACTTATTAGGGAGCAAACTTAAAGATGCAGTCAGTAATTTTTTCCAGACACATTTTTTTATATATATTGTGGGAAAACGTCCCTAAACCCTGAAAGTAGTCAAGTTATCATGTGTTTTCAAATAGTAATGGAATTGGGATGCGTTTACCCCCTTCACCCTCTTCCTGTTTCTCGCGAGTGCGCACCTGAGTTATTGGATTTTCTAAAAACCTAAAAGGGCTGAACAGAAAAGGCCAATTTCACGTTAGCCGCCCACTCTCCATGTTGTGACAAAGAAAAGAAAATGCTGGATGTTTGGTTTGATGGAGAGGAAAGGGGAGTGGTTTCCAGTTGGTGCTACGGCTAAGCTAACAAAATCGCTTACTGCATCTTTAAGTCACTTCTGCTTCTGTTTTTCTTAAACAAGGGTTTCCTAATTATCAAACTGCGACAAAATTGAACTAAGTAATAATAATCTCACTAGTTCCTCGTGTAGTTCCTTTCAATTAACACAAAAACAGCATCAGCTTTTCACTTTTTACTTTTACAATTATCTTTCTGTTAGGACAGCAAAACATATTTAATGCGGGGGAAAAAACTCAGAAATCCCATTCGTTTCATTCTCAAATAATAAAAAAAACATATCATAAAACAAACGTGAAATGGAGTCGCTAAATAATGTTCACAGCGGGATGTTTTCGTCTGGATTTAGACTTTTGTTGAGGTGGAGTGTGTGACGGTCTGCAGCAGCTGTGAATGAGTGAGGAGCATTCTTCAGCTCTGAGCCACAATGCTGAAAACACACACCAGCTGCACTGTTCCAACACGGACACAGGGCAGACACGGCACACGTTCAGGGGAATATTTCTTGACCTAACGAGAAAAGTTTGCATCCACCCATCTCTCTGCGTTTCTCTGCTTCACATTCCTTGCGTTGGACTCTATCACTTCAGTGCTTTCTCAAGGGGATCCATTTACGTATTTATGAACAAAACAAGATAACAACAGTCATACAAGGCATTCAAATCATGAGAAATAACAGTACATTAAAACTGAATTATGCTGTGCCTAACCCTAAGCAGAACTGTTTTCAACCTGGATTTGAACATAGTCAGAGTAGAAACCTGCCACACATTCTCAGAAATTTGTGGCAGGTTTTTGCATAAATTGGTAGCAATATTTTTTCCATTCTCTCCACACGGTGATGACAGAAGTGAAGTCTGGGAAGTTAAATGACAGAAGTGAGAACTGACCGTCACCATCCTTCACTCTCTCATTACATTTAGCCTCTAGACCTATTGTACATGTTTCTAGTGGTGGGGGAAACCAAAGCACCTGGAGGAACACAGACACAGGGAGAACATGCAAACTCCCCTCTGAAAGGCCTGAAACTGCCGCGCCGCTGTGTCGCCCCAGTAATCTCATCATATATGAAGCCATTACCTCATACTCGACTCCCACCCCTCAGAGCTCTAACCTTTCAGAGCTCTACCTCTTGTACAGCCACTTTTGTTAAAAATGTTAAATATGTAATCAATGCTTGAAGTAGTTTCTATCTTTTCTCTCTGAATACTTAAGACCTGCTTTGTGCAACACATTCAACAGTTTATATAAATTATGAAAGCGATAAGAAGTCTCCTCGTGTCTGCTTTCTCATCCCGTCTTAGAAAATAATGCTTCTGCCCAACAACAAGACAAAAGATACTAAAGTTAACGTCTTCTTTAATTGTATAGCACATCTACAACAACACAAAAAGTCTCCACATGCACACGGGAAAAAAGTAAACTAATACACATAAATATATGTAAGGTTCAAATGTGTCTTTAGACTTTAGTAATGTACAGAGGTAAATGTATTCGATTTAGGGATGTAAAAAACTATGAATTTTCATGACCGACCACCGAGCCTCATTAACCGGTTGAAACCGGTTAACCGCGTAGTTTAAAATAGTCCACGTTCTTTGAAATAACAGCCATTTCGAGCCGCGTACTTTTCATAAGTGCAGCTCTGCGTTCTACTGGATCAGAGCTGAGACAGCGGCGCCCAAACCCGCAACAGCTCCGGCACCTTTGCGCACAGAGAACTGCTTTTTTAATCTTCCCATTCTGCTGTGCTGCGGGTTAATACCAAAACTTTCTAGCAGCAAACGACGGCTCGTTCACATGGTCAGAGCAGCGAGTGACGAGCCGCGTCTCACAGGTCTTCACAAAAGTTTAAATACAAGTGATGTGTGTGGAGCTGATCCCGAGGACCATAAACACAAACATGTTCCATGTGGTTTGACTGGAGCCGCGTATTTGCGCGAATCCTTTGGGCTCCGTGACACAGAGGAGCGCGACAGACCGGTATGTGTGTGTGTATGTGTGTGTGTGTGTATGTGTGTGTGTGTGTGTATGTATATGTGTGTGTATGTAAATGTAAGCTCCAATGTAGTTCTGACCCGCGCCAGTGTGCAACTTTGACGGTAACAGAGGGGAGAGATGATGCGTGTGGATGTTACGTATGGAGAGGGGGGAAAGTGTGTGTGTGTGTGTGTGTGTGTGTGTGTGTGCACGCGCGTGTGTGTGTGCATATGTAGCTCGTGCGGCGTGAGAGTCGTCCTGGAGATTATAATACATGGGCGCACACAGCTAGATATGGACCCGCTCGTCACACCGTGCAAATAGGGCTTAAAATAGCGTTATTAAGAGACCTCCCCTCTCCCCTTTTTCTCTTTTTTAACCGACAGCTTTGACCGGTTAACGCTGTGACGGTCAACCACCGGTTAAACGGTCGCCGATTTACATCCCTAATTCGATTAACTCAAACCAAGAGACATGATCCCAAGCTAAAGGGATTTTTGGCTCTACTTCAGTCCTTTTTCTGTTTGCAAATGACTTCAATGTTTGCCATCTTTGCGATTTTTCTTATTGCCACCACAACAACAGAGATCATCGTACAGCCCTATCACAAACAAATCTCAGTGTGTACCTGGAATATCGCATACTTATCGATTTCTTTGTAATCCTACAGCCCTAAGCCCCGCCCCTCTCTGCTCTCTCTCCTATCACTGTTTTCAATCTTGTCTCCTTCATGATTATATCGTTATCTCCTCATTTAAGGTGCAAGGGCCTTTGGGATCCAGCGACTTTAGCGGTCGAGGATTTAGCAAAAGTTTGGGAAGTCTTCTCATATCACTGTTCGAGTCTGTGTCAGAACAGATTTGAGGAAAAATAATGCCAGAAAAGAGATTCTTGAGCTTTGAAATT